GAGGTGTTGCTGCTGAAAGGAGACACTCCACCTGCCTGTGTCTGCTGCCCTCTAGGTGTATCTGCTGCCTTGGTGCTGCTGCTGCTGTTGCTGCTGCTGCTGCTGCTGTCGTGCTGCTGCTGCTGCTGCTGTGCGGGAGTTCTTTCCTTTGCTGCAGCAGTTGCTGCCTGTGTCTGCATGTGTGCACTTGGTTTTGTTTTAGTCTCTGTTGCTGCGGTTCCTGCTGCAGCTGCTGTTCCTCCTGTTGCAGCAGCTGCTGCTGTTCCCGTTCCTGCTGCTGCTCCTGCTGCTGCTGCTGCTGCTGCTGGGATAGGCTCTAGCCACCTTCCCTCTCTCTGATGCTTCGCCAGCAACTTAATTATGCTGCTCGCAGAAAGAGAGACGTCCTTCCAGTTCCACGCCTGCAACATCACACAACACAACATATATATATATATATATAAATATTTTATGTTTATATATATATATATATATTATATGTTATATATATATATATATTATATGCTAAATATATGCATATGTATATTTGTATATTTTATATATATGTAATATTCACATGGTTGTGTCAATATATGTTCGAGTACATACATGAATATATATATATATATATATATATATATATGTTTAGATTTATTGATATACATGCATTTTCATATATATACATATGTATATATGTATATATATATATACATACATTCTATATACACACAACAGAGAGCGCGAGGCCTTTAGGGCATTTGATGATGTGGGCGGCACTAAGACGGAGAAATAAAAAAAAGAAATAATTAAAAATAATTAAAAACAAATAAAAATAAAATAATTTTAATAATAAAAAGATAATAAAATAATAATAAAATAGTAATAAAATAATTAATAATAAAATAATTTTAATAATAAAAAGATAATAAAATAATAAAATAGTAATAAAATAATTAATAAAAAATAATATTAAAAATAGTGTAAAAAAATAATAAAGAAACACAAACTGAGAGTAAACAAATAAAAAACAAAACCCAGCAATATAAACGCAAACAAAGAGACAGCTGTCTCCATACACCTCGCCAGACTATAAAGCCCCTCGGGGCACCCCAGCAGCAGCAGCAGCAGCAGCAGCAGCATCAGATGCAGCAACATCAGCAACACGAGGACCAGGAAACCAGCAGCAGCAGCACCCCAGCATCCCCCGCTGCAGCAGCAGAGGCAATATGAGCAGCAGCACAAGCAGCAACAGCCGCACAAGCAGCAGCTGTAGCACAAGCAGCAGCAGCAGCGGCAGAACGTACTTGTGCAGCAGCAAGTGCATCTTCAAGCCTCCTCATGAGTTCAACCCCTCTTTTATAAGTAATAGGAAAGCTGTAGTGGCATCGCGATAGAAAAACAACAGCAGCCTTCGCTCCCAGCCAAGCAGAGGGGTTAGGTGCTGCAGCAGCAGCAGCAGCAGAAGGCAGACCTGCAAAGACACCCCAAAGGAGACATATAAAAGGAGACAATAAATACCCCACAACGTTCAGAGACACTCTACTCAAACCCATATTCTAATATCGCACATATACACTCAAAACACAAAAAGATATGCATGGAGACAGAACATACACCCCAACACTAAACCCTAAACCCTAAACCCTAACAGCACTCAAAGGCCTCAAACCCTAGCAATACGAAGTCGCCAACTCTATCAACCCTAAACCCTAAACCCTAAACCCTAAACCCTAAATTCTAAACCCTAAACCCTAAACCCTAAACCCTAAACCCTAGTGTCTTACTGTGTGCGAGTCCCTCTAGAATCCTTGCCTCCCACTTTCTTGCTCCTTTAAGGAGGTGGTAGTGTTTAGCTTTGTTGCCTGAGAATCTGTACGTGAGCCCAAAGCAGCAGTTTGCTGCTGTCTCCTTTTCAAATGCATCTTTGTCTTGAAGCCACCTCCTCAAAGGAGACAAAATCTCCTCTACAAACAAACCCAGCATCTGCGCCTCCCGCTCCGTGCTGCTCCTGAGGCCCCACACCCCACACCCCACACCCCACACAAACGCATGCATATAAACGCAAGGTCACCATCAACTGTCTCTCTTGCTGCTCTTGCTGCTGCTCCTGCTGCTGCTCCTGCTGCTGCTGGGGGGGGTCTAGCAGCAGCTAAAGCAGTAACAGCGGATAGCTGTTTAAGGAAGTACTGCAGCAGCAAGCCCTGCAGCATCCCTTTCTTCAGCAGCAAGCCCTGCAGCAGCAACTGCAGCAGCAGCAGCAGCAGTTGCTGCTGCTGCTGCAGTTGCTGCTGTTGCAGAGTGTATATGTTTACCTGATGAGGGGTACGAGCATACGTGTGCAGATATTCATAAAGTCGAGGAAGTTGAAGAGGGGGAGACGGAGACGGACTAACAGCCAAATGAAGTTGGCGCTAAATAAAGCATCAGCTTCAGAGTTAATAATGCGAGGAGACAGCATATACTTTATCATTGTGCGAATTGCAAACGGACCCCTGCGGCATACACTCCCTCCTTTGCTCTCATCTTCTCCTGCTGCTGCTGCTGCTGCTCCTGCTCCTGGAGATGCTGGTGCTGCTGCTGCTGGTGCTGCTGCTGATGATGCTGCTGCTGATGATGATGATGCAGACGCAGCTTCCGCGGTATCCGCCTGGCTGTCCCCATTGGATGCTGGGATGCGTTGGGGTGTCTCCCGAGGTGCAGCAGAGCTGCTGCTGCTGCTGCTGCTGCTGAAGTCTTCCGCTGTGCTGCTGCGGCGGCTTAAAGTCAGCACAGAGGAGGCTCCATCGGATTCGCAATCTACCTGCATCTGCTGCTGCTGTTGCTGTTGCTGTTGCTGCTTCTGTTGCTGCGGTTGCTGCTTCTGCTGCGGTTGTTGCCTCTGCTGCTGCTGCTGCTGCTTGTCTTGCTGCAGCACTAGCCAGGAGAGACTCGCGTCTTGCAGCGCTGCCAGCACTGCTGACTGTCTCTCTTTGTGAGATCTCCACTCCTGGTCTAGAGCCTTCTTATGTTGTTTAAGCTGCGTGCGTCTCCTTCTTAAACCTTCTTCTTCTTTGCGGCTGTAATCAACAGCACCTGCAGCCACCATTGCTGCTGTCGGCTCCCTGCTGCTGCTGCTGCTGCTGCTCAGGTTCCTCCTGAAACGCTCTATGTCTTCAATCGCGCGCTGTGTCTGCAACGACATACACAACACCATCCCGCACACGCTGCTGCTGCTGCTGTTGCTGTTGCTGTTGCTGCTAATGCAGCAAGAGAAGCAAGTTGAGGGGCCCTCACTGAGAGGCTTGAGAAGCAGCAGCAGCAGCTGTTGCTGCTCTGTGTAGTCTTATCTAGCTATCTACATACAGCAGCTAATTTGGGGTGTATAGGCAGTGTAGAGGGCTGCTTCTGACGGCTGCATGAAGGTTTCTTATCCTTCAGGGTTTAGGGTTTAGGGTTTAGGGTTTAGGATATACATCATTGAGAGCAGTCTGCAGTTTATTAAGTGAAGTTTCGTATTGCTTGTTAGGGACAAGTATATCTGCAAGAGACAGTCTCCAGAAGAGCAGCACAAACTTTATGGAGACGCCGTTTAGCTGCTGGGGGTCGATCCCAGACGGCTGCAGCAAAGGCAGCATGCACTCGGCCCAGTTCTCTGCAGCAAACAAACAAACAACAGCTCTTGCTTCTGCTGCTGTTGCTGCTGCTCCTGCTGCTGTTTCTGCTGCTGCTGCTGTTTTGGCTGCTGCCGATGGTGTTGTTGTTGCTACTGCTGCGACTCCTGCTGCTGTTGGTGTTGCTGATGTTTTTGCTGCTCTTGCTTCTGCTCCTGCTGTTGCTGATATTGCTCCTGGTGTTCCTGTTGCTGCTGCTGTTCCTGTTGCTGCTGTTGCTGCTGTTGCTGCTGTTGCTGTTACTGCTGCTGCTGATGGGCAACATACCTGTAAACGACGGCTCCAAGGCGCTGCCTTCGGAGGCAACACCGCAGCAAGCTGGGCTTTGCTCTCCGTCTTCTGCTGCAGCAGCAGCAGTTGCTGCTGCCCCTCCTGACCCTGCTGCTGCTGTTGCTGCTGCTGGTGCTGCTGCTGCTGCTTGAGGCCCCTGTTTTAGTGGCGGAGTGCTGCAGGTGGGCTGTGTCTGTCGCATCTGCGGCGATGCTTCATCGACCTGCATGGGTGCTGTTCTTTGGGTGCTTCCCTTGCTGCTGCTGCTACTGCTGCCTTTGCTGCTGCTGCTGCTGGTGCTGCTGCTGGAGTTTGTCTTAAGGAAATCAGGTAATGCTGGTCTTAAGAAACTCCAAGCCATAGCCGGAGGGAGGAACGCAAAGAGAATATGAGGCGGAGGTAGTAGTTGTTTGTATTTGTTTGTGTTAAACGAGCGCTCTAAATAAGCAAGAAGCTGCAAATGGTACTTATGAAGATCGTCAACATGGGCGCAGAACACCTGCACTGATTGATTAAAAAAAGAATCGTATAAGAGCTCGGCCCTCACTTTTGCAGGGATTAGCAGCAAAGGCAGCAGCAAACGACTGTCTCCTATACACTCTCTTAAAGCCTCTTGTGCTGATATATCTGCTGCTGTCTCCTCCTCCCCTCCTACTAACATCACCTCCGTCTTCAACAACGGACCCCCTGCCTGTACACCGCAACAGCAGCAGCAGCAGCAGCAGCAACAGCAGCAGCAGCAACAGCAGTAGTAGTAGCAGCAGGCTTAAATTTGTATTTTAAAAACTAGATGATAAGCAGTCTATTAAGGCGTCTCCGGACCGACTAGGAGACAGGAGACACCAGAGGAGACAGTTGAGGAGTAGATATATATTAACAAGAAAAGAGAGACACGAGACAGCACAAAAGAAAAGAGAGATAAGAGAGGAGACAGTATATCACAGGGACATGTGAATAATACAGAACTAAATATATTAAGCAGAGAGATAGACAGCATTAAAAGGAGACAGTAAAGCAGCATTAAAAGGAGACAGACAACTAGACAAGACAGCAGCAACATAAGACAAAAGCATTGAAAAGGAGAGAGAGCATTAAAGGAGACAGCAAAAGAAAGGAGACAAAAACATAAAAAGGAGACACTTAAGATTTACCTGCGCATATATTTGGTCGGGGGTCAGAGCCCCAGCCTCAGGCAGTCGCGGGCAGCAGCCTACTACTTCTAGAAGTCTCTCTAGATATTCTTTGTCTCGAATATATCCACTTAAAGCATTAGGATAATCTGAGTTCTTGCCTGCTATCACAACAGGGGGACCCCTAGGCCGCTGCTGCACCTGCAGCTGCTGCTGCTGCTGATTCTGATCCTGCTGCTGCTGCTGCTGCTGCTGCTGGAGAGACCCCACAGGCTGTCTCCAGAACTGCTGCACGTCTCGCACGTGCAGCTCTCCCCACATCCGCGTCAGCGTGGAGACGAGTAAAGGACGCAAGTCTGTCTCCTTGTGGCTGCAGAAAGGAGACAGCAGCAACAACTGTCTCCTTTTACTAAAAATGCAGCGGAGATAGAGACAAAGGAGACAGAGACAGACAGACACAAAGGAGACAAAGAGAGACAGAGACAAAGCAGACAGAAAGGGACAGAGATAAAGGAGACAGAGAGAGAGAGACAGATAAGGAGACAGTGATATACAGAGACGAGGCAGATGCAGAGACACCCCAGCTTAAGCTTCAAGACTCAGAAGACAAACAAAAGACGAAGAGACAGACAAAAGGAGACCCATCGCCACACAAAGGCGCGGGGACAGCCGCAACAGCAAACATATAACATAAGAGACATACAGTGCAATAGGGAGACAAACATAAAGAGACGGACAGACGGAGACAGAGAGGAGGAGACAGACAGGCGGAGACAGACAGGAAACAGAGAGATAAATAGAGACAGACAGAAGGAGACAGACAGCTAAATAGAGACAGACAGAGAAACAGAGAGACAAACTTTGATAGACAAGCAAGACGCAAAGACAGAGGGAGACAGAGAAGCAGAGACAGAGACAGACAAAAGGAGACAAATAAAGACGCAGAGGCAGAAGAAGACAGGCAAACAAAGACAGAGACACATATAAATACAAACAGACACTTAGAAAGAAGGAGACAGAGAAACAGAGACAGATAAATAAATACAAACAGACACTAAGACAGAAGGAGACAGCGAAACATAGACAAGAAAAAGAACTCGTACAGCCTAAAGAAGCAGCCCGCCATAGAAGCCCTGTTTAAGAGACGTCTAGACACCCCAATCCCGTCAGCTTCCACTCCACTGTCTCTGCGCTGCAGCTGCCGCTGCACAAAACGAGATGCTAGTACATCTGCTGCAACAGAGGAGACACTTCGCGTTGCCTCAGTTAGAGTCTGCACCTGCAGCAAAACAAACGAAGGAGACAGACACCCAAACAGCAGTTATTACACCCCACACCCCACACACAGACACAGACTCAAGCAGCACATTCCCACACAACACACAGACACGCAAAATATGCAAACGAATAACACGATCCCCGATCCCCACACACGATCCCCGATCCCCACACACGATCCCCGATCCCCACACACGATCCCCGATCCCAATAGAGGATTCCACAGGGAGACAATCTCATCCTTCCCATCAATCACAAGCAGCTCTTGCCCTTTCGCGGGCTTCCCCGCAGCAGCAGCAGCAACAGCAGCAACAGCAGCAGCCTCGACTAGTTCAGCATCAAGATGCGCAGCAGCTGTTGACGCGGGTTTATATTTTATGTCCAGTGTATTACGAGCAAGGGTCTGGGTCTATTCATATTTTTTAGGGTTTAGGGCTTATTGATTCTTCTATAAAGGTGATCGTTTAGGTTTTAGGGTTTAGGGTTTAGGGTTTAGGGTTTAGGGTCTGACCATGTTCCCATCAAAAAGGTCTCCTTGAGTAACTGCTGCCTCTGCTAGTGGCAGCGGTGCGGTGAGAGACAGACAAGATATCTCAGCTAATATCCCCTTGTCTGTGTCTCTTGCGTTTTTAACAAATATTTTTGACGTTAATCTCTTTAAAAGCTTCCGCAGCTTTATGCGAGCTACTTCGTAGTTCAAAGCCTGCAGCAGCAGCAGCAGCAGCAGCAGTAGGAGCGCAGCAAAAGCCTCAGCTACAACGCCCCCAGCAGCAGTAGCAGCATAAATATCACCACCAACAGCGGCAACAACACGGCCACCAGCAGCAACAGCAACAACAATAGCAGCAGCAGAAAAACAGCAGCAGCACCACCACCACCACCCCCAGCAGCAGCACCACCACTCCCAGCAGCAGCAGCAGCAACAGCAGCAGCACCACTCCCAGCAGCAGCAGCAGCAGCAGCAGGCGATGAGTGTATGAAGGTTTACTAGTGGGCATGTCTCTTGTTTCCAAGCACTCATGACTTCATCATAAATTTTATATCTTCTATACGAAGGCAGCTCTCTTAAGACACCCCACAGCAACGCGTTTACTGTGGGGGCCCCGTGCAGCACTTGCGACACAGCAGGAAATATCACCTCCCCCATGAACGCCGTCTAACAAACAGCAGCAGCAGCAGCAGCAGATGCAGCAACGAATGCAGCAACACATGCAGCACCAGCAGGCAGCAGCAACTTATCAAGCAACAGGTACAGCAACAGATCAAGCAAAATGTTCAGCAGCAAATGCAGCAGCAGGTACTCATGCATAAGCTGCAGCACGTGCAGCAATAGGTGCAGCAGCAAATGTAGAAGCATATGCAGCAGCAGCAGCAGCACAGCAATGGCGCAGCAACAGCTACTTTCTCCACATCAGACGCTGCGGCAGCAGCTGCAGCCCATGAAGCAACGGCTCCCCGGCGCCAGCAGCAGCAGCAGCAACTCTACGTGCAACAGCAGCAGCAGCAGCTCAAGAGCGTCTCCCCCCTCCCCCACAGCTGCTTCGCTGCTAAGGTGTCTCCTCTCTAGTGTAAGGAGACAGTTGCTGCTGCTGCGCTTACAAGCTGTCTATAGCGCCAGTCTTGCTGCTCTGTTCCCCGCTGCACTGCAGCAGCAAACTCTTTGCATATACCCAAGACAGCTAGCAGCAAACGAGGACAGAAAGCAAGAGATGCATGCAGCAGCCGCAGCAAAGGGACAGCCTTAACGAAGAAATCATCATAAGAGAAACATTGAAATTGTCCTTGGCAGCGGAAGCCCCCTGCTGCTGCTGCTGCTGCTGGTGCTGCTGCTGCTGCACTTGTGGCTGCTGCTGCAGCTCCTGCTGCAGCGTTAGTTGCTGCTAAAGAAGGCAGCAGCAACCCCAGCCATATCTTAGGTATTGCTGATGGATTAAACGTGTCTTCGTCTTGTGCGCTGCGACGCAGGGCTTCAAGGGTCTCTCCTGAGGGGACTGCCTCCTCTATAGGATCTCCTAGTCGCTGCTTCTGCTGCTGCTGCTGCTGCAGAGAAGAGACAGTCTGCTTCGCTGCTTGAGACTGAAGCAGAGATTGCAGCGCTGCTTCGGGGCCGCGCAAGATCGGGCGTATAAGCCAGCTGAGGAGACAGCAGCAAAAGAGACACGGAGACAAAAGGAGACAGATGAACGGAGTAATAGAAGAAAGCAGCAGCAAATAAAAAGATGCCCCGCTGCTGCTGCTGCTGCTGCTGCTGTTGAAATAAGGAGGCATATAAGGAGACAGATAAGGAGACAAATAAAGAGACAGAAGGAGAGAACAGAAGAAACAACTAAGGAAGCAAATAAAGAGACAACTGGGGAGACATACAAGGAGACAGATAATTATTTAAAAGGAGACAGACAAAGAGACAGATACGGAGATAAATACGCAGATAAATAAGGAGACAGATAAGGAGACAAATAAGGAGACAAATAAGGAGACAAATAAGGAGACAAAAGGAGACAAATAAGGAGACAAAAGGAGACAAAAGGAGACAGATAAGAAGATAAATGAGCAGATAAATAGAGAGACAAATAAGGAGACAAATAAAGAGACGCATAAGGAGACAAATAAGGAGACAAAAGGAGACAGTACCTGATATAATCTACGAGGCTCTTGTGTACGCGATGGTTTACTGAGGGCAGCAGCTTTAATTTTCCTGTGAAGTGCAGCAGCAGCTTCTCTGCTGTTTCATATGCATTGAAATCTAAGAGAGAGGCCAACAACTCAAACTTAGGTAAATGCATACGATACACCGCGTCACGAGTCGCCCTGCAGCAGCAGCAGCAGCAGCAGATGCAGATGCAGCAGATGCAGCAGATGCAGCAGCAGCAGAAGCAGTAGATGCGGATACAGCAGCAGCAGATGCAGCAGATGCGGATACAGCAGCAGCAGATGCAGAAGCAGCAGACGCAGCAGCAGCAGATGCAGAAGCAGCAGATGCAGAAGCAGCAGATGCAGAAGCAGCAGATGCAGCAGCAGCAGATGCAGCAGCAGCAGATGCAGCAGACGCAGCAGCAGCAGATGGGGCAGATGCAGATGCAGCAGCAGCAGGCGTTAACAAGTGTTTGAAAGGAGGTAATGAGGAGACAGCAGCTCGCAGTAGGTCTCAGGTATACACGGAGCAGCAACAAGCACAGCGACAAATAAAGCGAAGAGACACAGGAGGAGACAAAGAGAGACAGATGGAGACAAGCAGACAAAGCATACAGCGAGGAGACACTTATATATACCCTTCTTAGAGGCAGCAGCAGCTGCTGTCTCCTTCGCTTTACCTGTACGTGTGCTCTGCCTCCTGCAGCAAATGCTCTACATTGGGGGGCAGTGATGCAACAGCTGCTGCTTCTTCGGTTGCTGCAGCAGCAGCAGCAGCAGCAGCGGAAGCACCAGGGCTGTTTCTCCCCTGCTGCTGCTGGTACTGCTGCTGCTGCTGCTGTTGCTGCTGTTGCTGCTGATATTGCTGCTGCTGCTGCTGCTGCTGCCGCCAATCTTCTCGCCCTCCTCTCCCTGGGGACCCACCCCAAGCAGACGGAGACACCCCGAATGAACCCCCAAACTGAGATGAGCTGAAAGACCCTGAAGGCCCAAAGCCTGCAGGCAGCAGCAGCACAGCAGCAGCAGCAGCAGCAGCAGCAAGATGAAGTTAAACACCAACAG